ACTATTTGAATTATTTTATAAATTCATTTCTTAACCCGCAATTTGCATAAATGATTTTTCCTCCCACAAGAGAATGATCCTCTCTAAGAACAAACTAAATTGACCCTTAAAAGCACTTAAACCTGGACATGTAACCTGGCTTTTTGTTATTAACCTTTAGAGTACCATGCACCTCACAAGAACAAAGCTCCTCAATAATTCCGTTCAAAATTTTTCACCACTCTCCCCCTTTTTGATTCCAGTTGATTTTTTCGTCTCTGAGGATGACATGATCAAAGCTACCCTCACAACAGTGCCTGGAAAACCACTGTTCTGTTCGAATGATTACATTTCCAGAGTCACTCAGAGGTAAGAGGAAAGTAGATACATGATTCTTCAAGGTTTATACTTCACAGGAAAATTCCAACATGAGCGCTTTAAAACTACAGCCAAATGCGACTTTCCCGCGCTCAGGGCAGTTGACGTTATTTAATCCTTTACACCCTAACTTCTATACGTTTCTTTTGATACTGACGAGAGGAATTCGTTAAACAGTCAAAGCTTCTTAGGTTGGCGATCATTTCCTTTTTTCTCATGATCGTAATGAATAATTTAGCAGTATTATTGTGAGGAGAAATAAGATGTTGGTCTCTCTTTAGGGTTTAAAGGTGTGAGTCTTCATTGGCTCCAAGTGATATTTTGTTTTGTTCTGATTCACCGTTGAGATAACTTTGGCGGTGGTTTTAACGAGATTGAATGGAAATGAGCTGAAAATGCTAGTCGATATTTTGGACATTGAAGGGGCGTGCCAATTGGGGGAGGGGTGGGACAGTCTAAATGTCACGTAGATCCTCCCCAGCTTTATAGACATCACTGCTATTCTAGCATTGTTTTGAATTAAATGTTTCCCGTTATTTACAGGTGTCTCTCAATCCCAGCTGCGATGCGATGCATCATCAGAAAAGCACAGAGCGTCAAACTAGAGGAACTTCCGGTTAAGGCAAGCGAGGAACTACTTCTTCCTGTCGGTGGGGGGCAACCATCTACCAAATTAGCAAGTCTGTCACTCCCTTCCAGTGCCGCTCTGTTCGGTGCGGCGGTCGGAACTCCGTCCAACCCCAACACGCCAGTGTTTCTGGGAACGTCACCGTCGTTTACAGGTTTTAACCTGGAAACACCCTCGCCGACTTTCAGTGCGTTCACGTTTTCTTCAATATCTCCTACGTTTTCTTTTAATACAACGGATATTACAGCCGCTGCGGCAGATTCTCTGACCACGACGGCCGCAAAACAACCCGAGAAGAAGCCTGAAGCCGCAAAAACACCGAACTTGAAGATAACTCTTAAACGAAAGCGAGACGATGAATATGTCATTGAGAACTTTCAATTGCCCGATGAAGTCCCAAAGAGCGCGGTAAGAACGCCAGTTGGGCAAACGCCATCGAAAAGCAAAGAAACGCCCGATCCGGAGTCAATGGAAGGAGACAACTTCCCTTTTGATCTCGCTGCTGTCTCCGGAGCTAACTTCACTATGGGGACCACATTCCCGGATGTAAGTGCTGGGTTAGATGGTTCAGTGGTCGTGGCTGCAGGTAGTTCCACCGCTGGTCAACATGTTGGTTTGGCGGGCGCAGACTCTTTAGCTGCTGCAAGCGGGCTAGGGATCGTTTCCGCGGGAATTGAGGGATTATCCGCCACCGCCGATTTGTTCGATATAGGGGGCGCCGGTGCTGACGGGACAGATTTAGAGGGGATTCTTCAGAATCTTTCTGGAGCATCTCATCTTCCACCAGGGATTGTGTCAGGTGCTACGGCTTTGGATTTTGAAACAGGATTAGGTACGATTACAATTGTTACTTCGATGTATGCGGTTGATGAAAACAAAACAAAACAACAGAAGTAGTCATTGTGGGAAGAAGCGCGCCGTAATTTGACTCCAAAGGATCGAGCCTTTTTTGCGAGCGCTTTTTTGTTTTGCCCCAGTGGAATTCTGCGGTCAATCAGCGGTCGACACATACGTGGTGTAAAAGGTAGCTATAGGATCCGCATGTCATTTCGCGTTGTGTTCACTAAATGTGTGCGTAAGTTCTCTATTTTAGATCTCCGTAAAATGCAATAGCAAGTAAAATCTCTATGAAGATGACCTTTTCAAGAGTTAATCCAAGTGTTGCTATATTTGTTTCCCCTTCAGGAGCTGGAGTACCAGGACTGGACGTATCAGATCCTGGTTTCGACATCGACGCGGCCCTTGATGCCAGTGCTGTCGCAGACCCGAGTATTGCGGGCACTGCCGGTAAGTAAATCGCGTGATATTCTTTAAAGTGACGTCATCAGCCAATCTTTCTGACGTCAAGTTACGGCTCTTATAGAGTGTTTATCGGAAATGGAAACCTGCTTTGATGTTTTTCATCCGATGGAACTTGCTAAGCCATTTTTAATTTGAAAGCGAAAAAATGTATCCATTACCACAGATAAGGCCCTAGTGCTGGATACTGATATATTTCAACGTATTGTTCGCGCTAAGGAATGGAAGGATTAAATTTCAGTAGAGGCACTTTTAGAAGATGATTACATGTAAATCACGATTTTCATCCTCAGGAGCCTTTGATGTCGACTCCACGCTGGGCTTTGACCTCGATAATATCACCGGTGTAGGAGGTCTCCCTCCTGAAGTTACAGGTGCAGCGGACCTGCTGGCCGTTAGTGGACTGAGCGGGAGTGACGTGTCCGTTGATATCGATATGCCTGGGACATCGCATTCGAAGATATGAGCTAGATTTGCGGACTTATTTTGGGACAGCTACCAGGCAACTCTTACGTGAAGCGCCTACAGGGTTGAATGCCGTCTGAGGTGCGATGATGGAGAGTAACAAATGTCAAGGAGCGAAGACTGCGATCGAAGATCGAGCAGACAGTTCTTACGCATTGGTCGTGCTCTCGAAACTTCCCAAGTGCTTCAAATCTCGATGAACGCACACTGACGCATGAACCAATTGTTAAACAAAGGCTACATAAATGCCCCTATTTCAGTTACTCTAGGTTAAATGCTAAAAAGAACAATTTTTAATGAAGAGTCAAAAGTTTTCCGGAATTGCATCGATTTTACTTTGCCCTCTGCCCAGTTTCACTCTCGCCAGCTCGTTCAATCGCTTTTTTGCGCGCTTAGGGTATCTGACGTATTTTTTCTAGTTTTCATCGGCTGCTTGTGATACTAAACTTCGCTGTGATTGGCTGCTGTGATAACTTCGGTTTTGAGTTCTCGTTTTAGAACTTGCGAAATGCGCTGCTACTCTCAAAACCAAACAGCAATAATGTCACTGTAGACGAGTTTATTGACCCTGGGTTGCAAAGGTTTACAAGATATACAACACGAATGAAGGGTAGATACACAAAACAACAACTTTCACGGGTTTCACTCGATTTGTTAAAAAAGAGATGTCTCAGAAAAAATAGAAGAACATTTACAGACTGATTTGGTTTCTAAGTATAAATACAATAGTACAGATCAAATTTATGGTGCGACGTTTTAAAATGCTAAGTGTGCTTTATTAAACGTCCTTGCCACATGGCATCTGAACGCACTTTCTATCGAAAAACTCTTCCATGCCTTTGCTGCGTTTTATTTTGAATCGAAGTCGGAGAAAAAAAAAACATTTCAGAAACTCCTGGATGTTAAATTCTCTAGCTTAAAAAATTGCATGTGAACAGGTGTGCTATCGTATCGTACGGATTAGCTGCCATAAGATTTATTTTCAGTGGAAGGAAATATATTTTGTTGGAAGCCCTCTAAACTGTATCTGAGCTACATCCAATTTGAAATCGATCCAATTGGAACAACTAGCGAGATATCTAACAAACAACGACAATAAAAAACAGCTTCTAAACAAATCCATTTTCCTCTAGTTCGCGTTCATCGATGTCTTCAACTTCATTGTCACTGTCCTCGTCATCCTCGACTTCGTTACCATTCGCGTTGACTCCCTGATCTTCGTCATTGTTGTCGGCATCTCCGTAACTATCGTCGTCGTCGTCGGAGTCCCGCGAGTCACCCCTTTGTACTTGGTCTCGGTGAATTATAGCCCGTTCGTAGGCTTGCATGACAGATTTCCTCATGGACGTCTTCCGACCCTCCTGTAACTTGTTCTCGTCTCTCTCTCCGTGTTGGCCCAGTGGTTCAAGTTTGTGACGCGGTAGCCATTGCCTTAAGTCAGAAAAACCCAACTATGAATTCAATCGAATAATCGTGTAATCTGTGATCGAACTGATTCTCCTTCACTACGCTCTGTGATTGGTCTGGAAAACACGCACCCCTTTGATCTAACCAAATGCAAGAATTAACTTACCCAAGCCTTACTCAATTCACGATAAATAAAAGTCTTATGATGGCTAACATCCCATCCAGAGGGAATAAGAAATACTTCAAGTCGCTTCATGTTAAGGGGACCGGGGTAAGCTCCAGCTAGATGGGACATTTGACTCGAGTACTAACTTTGTTTTTGGTAGACAAAAACAGATTTAATTTTTAGCGGGCTGTGTCAAATAAATTCACCCATCCCAGAGTGCGATGTAAACGGGAGATAACACTGGTATAGCAAGTAATATCGAATTTTTTCTTATGAGTCACACTTACGTAGGGATATTGCGCTTCGACTCATAACTCTTACCAAGTTCGCCTTGCGTCGAAAAACAGCACAAGATAGAGATGCTCGTCAGTAATAGCCCTCTCCTTCAACACATCTTCAGGTGGTACAGGAATAGGCACGCCATGGTGAAGGAAACCTTTCTTCGTTCGAGGATCTATTATCTATTGATGAAAGAATCAACGAAATGAGCCTGTAATACCGTTCACTACCACCGACCCTACCCTCACATCCATTATCACCACCCCTAAAGGTGAAATCGTCAGTTCTCCAGCCGAGAACTCTACAAAAGTCGGAAATTCCGACGAAGTGGAACAACGCAGAAATTGATTTCTTAAATACATTTGATGCACGAGCATGACAATAAATAAATAACGAAAATTACTTATAATGAAAATTAACAGTAAAACATACCAAAAAAAGTTATGTTCGAATATATTTAAAATCATTCTCAAAACAGGCATTCACGAGGCTGTAAAAATTGAAATTGGAACCGAAGGGAACCTCAACAGAAGCTCTTGATTATTAAACAGCCTTATCAGTAACATGAGAATTGGCTATAGAACGGTGTAACGAATATACACACTGATGTTCAGGTGTGCTGGCAGTTCTCTATGATACTCGTACTAGCTTAAAAGAAAACGTGTTCAAGGCAGTCAGTTAGTAAAACGAAGCGCGATGGTGAAGAGTGCCACTTTCACCGCGCTTAGTTAGCTCATGTTTCACAGCACCGGATTACCGTGCGGGAGGTCGAGTTCAAGCCCCAGACTGGACCAACACTCAGGGACTTAAAATAACTCAGGATATTGTGCTGTAAATGGTTCGACATTCTAGACCTCTCGGAAGAGGACGTCTCTTAAATTCCCTCTGTACTGGTTAGCAGGGGACGCTGAACAACCCATGCACTTCTCGCAGAGTAGGGAACGTAGCTCCTGGTGTTGTGGTCTGACGTCCTTTCAAACAAGCCTGGGCCAGGCTAAATATCCCGAATACGTACATACATGATAGCAGAGGAGTGACGAGGGAGGCCTGGGTCAGGTTGCGTAATGACCCGACCCAAGCCTCCCCCATTTTTTTACTCCTCCGCTCGGATTTACCAGCTGAACGCCTGGAACAGGATACTAAACTCATCGCAATGTGACTCCCTTGAAAATATAAGGACTGTAAAACTGCCTGAGGACAGTACTTACCAGTGCAGGATAGGATGGGTATCCTCGACACTTTGCCCAAACTAAATCCAGCGGTTGCAGAGGAGGGAGATCAGCAATCTCTGAATCGGACGTCGTCTTTCGAGGTCTTGCCGCGGGTTTCTTTTTCTTTCTCCCGTCTACTGGTCCGTTCATAACCCGATTTTCAGCAGAACTGTTTTCCGTATCGGTGCTCTGTTCATCATCTTCGGAAAATACCGACAACTTTCGACACAGTTCTCGGGAAGCGCGAGTGCCGTTCATTCTCACATTCTCGCTGATGTCCGACTCGGATCCGCTGGTGTACGACCGATACGATCGCTGCCGCAGACCATTCGCGCACGCAAAGTGGTTATGGCCTCTGTCGGACGGATGCGTGTCAAACATGGGCAGGGTAGCGTCTTCGATCAGCTTACCGAGTTCTGTTTTATAAGTTTTCTTGGGTACATAAAAAGTATCATTGTCTGTTGAGTGTCGTTTGTGAGGTCTCTTTTCCTCTTGGGGAGCTGGCTGATGTCTGTCCTCGAACACAGTATCTTCTTCACCGACTTCATCCGTATGCAAATTCTCAGTCACTTGGCACTCCGTGGCAACAGGATCAAGCGTTCTATCCGAGTCTGTTGTCTTTAACGCGTGATTCGCTGGTGGCAGAATATCGAAAGGGAACTTGTCGGCGCCCGACGAAAGATTCCTCCTGGCCCTGTGCCTTCCCTTGTTGAACAAGATTCCACTGCGCCGGCTCGTACCAGGACTAGGATTGGCAGTAGCTCTACTGTTAAGGAGACTGTCCCCTGCCAAACGATGGTCTTCAGTGTCCAGATTTTTGGTGGTCTGCGGGCCGTTCAGAGTGTCATTCTCGTCAATGGGTCTAAACTTCTTTAGTGGCTGTTCGTCTTCGAGTGGTGACAGACAGGTCTCGCTGAGGTTACATCCGTCCAGGCCACCAGCTATACACAACAACAAATACTAGATCAAAATTAAAAAATCCCTGTTCACCTTTCTATCACTTTTCTTAAGTATTTCCTCCAGGAAATTTTTCGCTTGAAATCAAATTTCAAAACCCTTGTGCCAAACTCGACAAAAGATACCGCTTGGGAAGAGAGACATAATTAAAACGTTCAAGTTCTTACAATTAGTTTGCCTCAATAAAGCCCTGGTTAAAAAAAAAAAAAGGAAAATCAAGCACACAAGATACAACCTCTACGCAACAGATAAGACACCCTTGATGACCATTTATTTTTCTCTGATACAGTTACGATACCTTTGCCACGAATATTTTTTTATGAAATGCCAAAATTAACGCAGTCTAAACGTTCGACCCTTAACTCGCAAGATGTAATTGCGAATTCCCCGATCTAGCTGCTGCGCATTTCCTTAAATTAGCGTTAGATCAAAACAACAATTTCTACCAAATAAGTTTGAGTATTTTCATAACCTGTTTGCATGTTAATGTATGGATATCATAGGGAAGAGTTACATGTTAATCACCTCTTGGGAGTAAAGAGTTAAAAGGATAAAATGATTGTTGTACAACCGAAACATAAATCCTAAAACAAAATGATAGCTGATGACAAGAAGCTTGCTCTGCGTCAACGAATAAACAACAAATAAGAAAATCACAAACCACTTGATTCTGAAAGATGTCTCTTCTCCTGGTTAAGTTTCCTCCTGACCAGCGCGATCTCTTTACGTAACATTCGAACCCTTGTAGCTCTGACTCCTGGAGAAAAAAAAAAGTAGCTTATTTGTACTAAAAGTTTTAAAACTCTTTCCACAGTCATACAAAGAAAGTAATAAAGAAAAGTCTTATCTAACTTTCACTCAGCTATGTTCTGAAAAGAATCACGAGGTGCTTGAACGCTCTTGTCAGAAATCTGGGGTATCTTGTTCCTCAAAAGCTTTCATAAACGCAAAGTAGAACAGGCGACCCAGACACATAAGCTGAACGCCTGCTAGTCACAGCCTTAGGCCCGTTTGTCCAAATGGCGGATAACACTAACCAACAGAATAATGCGCTATCCACCGGATTGGGATTTTTCAAGAGGATAGCATTACCCATCCTCCGAACAATCAGGTAATGAGCTATTACGTAAATGAGTGAGTTGCCAGCAATCGGATCCTTTTGTTTGCGCAAAGGTTTCTGGGGTCGCCTGGGAGCAAACACTGCAGCACAAATCACAAATCTGACCTCCATGTTTAATAGCCTGAGTCATGTCCAGTTTCTCCTGCAGATCTTTTAACTGCTCCTCCAGAGTCATGTCCCTCCTCTGCTCCTCTGTCAGGACGAAATCTAAACCAACCAAGAAAATGTTGTTAAGAACTCTATCATGCTACAAGTGCACCTAACTGCTATTAAAGGTTCACGATCTATACAATACATCGCGGTTGATGCAAAGTCCTAGACTCTCTTCTTGTTCCAATGAAACTGAAGTACCTGAACAAAAGACGCACTGGTCGCGATCTGAAGTACCTCACAAACTACACATCTTCAGCCAGAGAAAAGATACGTTCAAGACATTTAACGTGAAGAGTGAGACTGTGTGGTAAGACATCAGCATGAAACGAACCAATATGGGAATGTCATGCACCGCAAAAATGTGCGAAACAAAAATGAAAAAAATTGAAAGAAGCTTTGTAGCATGCGCAGATCACGACTAAAAAAGTGGCAATGGCTGGGTAAAGAAATGCGTTGAAGAGCTGCTCGATATTTTCGCAAAGGATGATAATATAGAGCCACAGGCCCTTTGTAGTTAT